CTGCGACTTTACTCCGAAGGCGAGAGCAAGAGAAAGACAAAGATGGTGCTGGACGGATAAAATCATAAAATGTCTAGTTTGATATCGTCCACGCCACGTAGATTTCAGAAGCTTGGAGAATGAATCAGGTCGTGCAAGTTCTAAGCAGGAAATTGCTGTACAATGAAAGGAATGGGGAAACAGCATCATCCGCACTTCTGCTTTACGTTTACACTCTCAGTATCTAGCCTGTGTAGCCAATGATTATCAAAGTAGGCAGAACTTTCTGCCGATTTAAACGTAATCGGGGGATTAATATTGATTTTTCATTTACCACTGGTCTTACTGCCGCCGTTATGGCCATGAATTATGCCAGCTGTAAGTTTATGCTGCAATTTATCGATTGTCGTTTGATTATTGCGCATGATTACACAGGTAATTGCTAAGGTACATAACTGATGCTTCCTGTAATACACTAACAGCACAGCAGCTCTTATTACGTCTATAGAGTGTATCATTTCATGCACAAAAATTTTTAACTTAAAATAATGAATGATACACTTTTAGCCTGTGATTATATAATGCACGATGTTCAGTTTATTCCCTCGGGAAAGAAACGCCTTATGAGTCCAAGGTATGCATTTGTTCTGTTTCTGCTAAAGATTACGATTATGCTTTCAGAAAGCGTAGCAATGAGCCAGAAGTGATCGACTGCAGTTCTGACAGCGAGGCATATTTAGACGATCATGAAGTAGGAGTTATCTTAAAGTTAGGCTACTTTCTTTTTACAGCTGAACTCTAAGGACAAGAATCTGGTCAACACCACGCTTACGTCATTGTATAAAAGGACAAAGACCACGCCTTCTTCATCTAGGCATCGCCAGTCTACTGGAAAGCAAGTAATGATGTTCTCTTTTATGACATTTAGCGGAATAACGGAGCTGAAGCACCGAATGGTTTACTTCTACACAACGCAGTACAGATCCCTTATCGGGTGGCACACAGTTACCAACGCTTCACCGATGTCTCGCGAGCCTTCTTCAACTTAAATCTGATGATCTTGGCTAGTGTTGTTTTCACGATTTGCAGCAGCTTGATCGTTTCCAGCCCAGGGACAAGTTTTCGGTCCGTGCTGTTGCTTTAATGCCTGTTGCTGACAGGCTCGACTAAGGTCATCCATTCAGCGGCATGCTTTGTCACCGTTGACACATTATCCGGACTGAAC